GGTAGCAATTACAGATTCCAGGCAGTGTATCAAAGAAGATCAACTCGGCATATCCCATCCAGCTAATCTAAATGGAAGGGATAAAGGGGTCTAAACGTGCTTAAAACGTGCTTAAAACGTGCTTAAAAATGGCTCGGCCTTATTTTCCTTATATTTTACTTCAAATTCTATTAAAGGCAGTGTAACTGGGGATTTCGGGAGCTTTTTAAAGAAGACAGTGGGTGGTGGAGGCAGGAGCAGCTTCCAGAAGAATTTTGGAAAATGCTATCTCTGACTATCAGAGATTAAACATGTAAGAGTTGGAAAAATAAAGTTGCATTGTTTTCATGTTATATGGAATCTAAAAACTTCATATTCCATGTAACATTCTTAGTTCTGTTTGTTCCTTTCAAGTTTGTAAGATCTTTAAAAATAAATCACAATCTGTTTAATTGTTTGCCCAGGTAGTAAACAAAGAAGCTGTTTCAATGGTAACAACACTGACCACCCTTGTGTCCAGAGGGCAAACAGCAGCCAGTCAGACGGCTTTTGCACAGGACAAGGCTGCCCCCTCAGGTCGGTTGCTGCTACTGCATGTTGGATTGACTTGTCAATTGAATTCACATTAACTGACCTCAGTTTTGTTAAGTGTTGTACTTTTCAATTGAATTCAGTCGGTTCAATATAAGTTAGTTCAGCTCATTTAACTTCGATTTAGTTTCCTTAGATTAAATGATTGTATGATGGACGGACGCTGAACATTTATATAGGTACTAAAACATAAAAACAATACTTTGGAATTAAATTGAATCAGATTTGTTCCAGTTCAGTTCAAAATGATTTCAAGTTCACACCACTTCAGTTCACTTCATCTCATGTAATTGTTTTAATTTAAATCATTTTAATTCTGTTCTGTTAGTCAAATTCAATTAAGTTCAAATAATATGAGTTCAGCGCAGTCCAGTTCATTTCAAATGAATTCAGTGTAGTTCACTTCAATTAAACCTGATTTAATTGAGCTCATTTCAGTTCCATTCATTTCATATCAATTAACGCCAATACATTTATAATCAATTCAATCCAATGCAATTCAGTTCAGTTTGCTTTAAAGCCAATTCGTTTTGGTTCAATTACTCCAGTTCAGTTTACTGAACTTCAAATTTTCAACAGTCAGGTCAACATAAATATCATTAAGCACCACAAATCAAGCTTTTCCAGACTCAGTCACATATTGAGATCCAGAGCCAATAACATACAATTCAGCTTTGTCAAAATTATTATGCAGTAATGATTGTAATAGAATATGGAGGTACCGTTTGTTAAGCACATGGTTTTCTAGGTAGAAAATATTATGTTTACTTTGTGCATATAAACATAAACTTGGGATAAATGTAAAAAAAAAAAAAAAAGAGATGTGCAAACAATCTGTACATTTTCTATTTTTCTTCCAGCCTGGCTAGATGGCGAGTGGATACTTGGGCGCCATGCTCTGCCTCCTGCGGTGGGGGATCCCAGTCTAGACGTGTTCGTTGCATGATGGGTCCCGAGGGCAGTTTAAGAGAAGTACAAACCCGGCATTGCCTTGGAAAAGGGAAGAAACCATCTAGTAGCAGGTTATGCAACATTTTGCCCTGTGCCAGATGGCTCACAAGTTCCTGGGGACTAGTGAGTATTCCCATGTAGCAAGTGTTTTTTTTTTTTCATTAGTTTCCAAGAAACTCGCCAAAACTTTAATATTACGTAATTTCAGTGTCATGGTCGGTGTGTGGGACCCAGTTTGGCAACGCAGCATCGGCACGTTCACTGTAAAGACACGAATGGCACCAAAGTTTTCTACAGGATGTGTCAAGGTTTTAGGAGGTAAACAGAGTTACAAGCCTATGTTCCCTTAGAACTGATTTTAATCAAACAGAAAGTAATGTCTCATATCTATCTATCCATCGCTTTAGGCCCAGCTCAGTGAGAAACTGCTCCACAGATGCATGCTTCCTATATTGGTACGTGGGGCCCTGGACACAGTGCACAGCCACCTGCGGCCGACACGGTTTCCAATCCCGTCAGGTGACCTGCAAACACCGTCGAACGGGCAGGACGACACGGGATCACCACTGCGTGTGGAGACCTCGGCCTTCCAGCTGGCAGCGCTGTAATATGCTGTCTTGTGGCAGAAGTGAGTTTTTTTTTGCAACCCTGAAAAGAGAAAGGTCAAATAAACAATTTCAAAGCCGAGAGCAAAATGAAATTATTTCAGGTCATTAGTGAAAAGTGGCAAGAAGAAATATTTTCCTCCCCAGCTTTTGCTTTTCTTCAAAGAACCTGTTATGTAAAATATAAAATGCAGTTTTAAAATGATTACTTCACCCTTTACTGGAAAAAAGTACTCAAACCGAACTCGCTCTAGCAGCTGAAACTGTACGTAAACTTCTGATTGACACCGAACACACTAACTTAAGTCTTTCCTGCTGCCCCTTATTGCGTAATGATGAGCAATAATTGTTTTCCGCTGTGTATTCCAGCAGAGGAGTGCCGTGACAGCACGAGGTACTGCGAGAGGGTCCGCCAGCTGGAGCTCTGCCCGCTGCAGCAATTCAAGAGCCGCTGCTGCCACTCCTGCAGGAAAACCTGAGGGACGGGGGACGCGGCGGGACGAGGCGTGTGGAGAACTCGGACAGGTCGGGGGGATTGGATTGGTCCTAAAATGGGGGGGACTCGACACCCACAACCGTTTCTTCTGTGGTTCGTCTCAGATGAGAGTTGCCGAGTGGGTGAGGAATGTTTGTCTCATGCCCAGAGTGAGGATGACTATTCCTCCTTGAGGATGTCATGTGCTTGGTTTGTATTTGAAAGCTTACGAAAGAAGGACGGTCTTAAATGAAAGCTTCAGTTTCAGTTCTTTCTACTTTTGTCTGTTTTTTTTTAATGGTAAATCGTACTAACAGATTTCCCCTGAAGTTGTGCAAACCTCTTGTTGCTATTGTTAAAAATGGCAATAGGAGGTGATAACTTTGCCCCTGAAAGAGGAATTACAGACAGTGATGCACTGACTAATGACCCACCCAGTGATGAAACTGCTGTCAGTTTAGGAATTTTCTTACTGCACCAAAGAAGAGCAATGGAAATACGGCTGACAGACAACCAGTTTTCACACAACTGTCTTTACATTTAACTTTTCATATCACCTCACTGCCAAGAATCACCAGCAAACCCATTAGCTTACTTATTAGCTTAAGTAGTATGCTGCCTTGTCAACTTAATGTGAGGGTGCTTTTGTTTAAAGTTAAAACAGTGTGATGCTTCTAGTAAATTGGAAATAAAGCAAATACATGACAATGTAATTAGTATCAACCATCTGTGAATTAAATTGTGACCATTTCTATCTTTTTGGGTGACCATCTGTTCGCATGATTTCAGGTGAATCCTGCAAAATAGAAACTAGAGCAATAAAAAGTGATCCCCTGCAGAGGTTTGCACTAAGGGCTATATATGGGACGAAAGCGAACAAATGTTTTTCAAGACAAAATACACAAATTTTGCACTATTAACTCATCAAAGTCCTTGTTAAAAACATGGCTTGCAAAGTTTTTTTTCTTTATTTTATGAGAGTAAAATTGTTTGTTTTTGTTTAGTATTTCATGAAAAGTTGTTCAAAATGTTCCTTTAACCACTAAAGTGTCTGTCTAAACATAGAAATTCCCTTCTTACAGCGCCCTCCGTGTTTATTGGGTACATCAGAAAAGACGTGAAATTTAGCTGAAAAAAAACACAACTTTTTATTTGAGTAAATTTTTTTCTGTTTTGAAATAAAGGTGTTTGAGAAAATCAATAGGCAGCACCAATATCGATTTAAGAAAAAGTTTTTCAAGCATTTTTTAAAGTGTCTACTTTGAGTTTATTTACGTGCCTAGGTAGTTTTTAAATAACAGCCAAATATTTCCTGCCTCTCTGAAGTACAAAAATGACAATACTTCTATTGTGTGCTCTTCAAAATGGGAAAGACAAGAAAAAAATGTTTGTTTTGATCACAGTAACTAAGAAAAGACCTAAAAAAAAACTATAAAAAACAAATTACCACTCGGAACATGTGTACATCAATCATCAGAGCAATAAACAAATAAACGGTTTTCAATTTTACACGTTGCACTTCTTCAACTGGAATGCTAAAAATTCGAAGGGGGCTGTATCTCATGCAAACAAGTTAACGGATTTCACTTTTTCTGAAAAGTACCTAAGGTTTCACTCTTAATTTGTGGACATTTGAAAATGACGTCACACTGACATGTCAATAATGTGAAGTGCTGCTGGTCATTACTAATGGGAACTTGTAGAAACTGTTAATAGTTAACCACAGTTTCATAAAAGTTGTTGATAAGCAGGGTTTGCACTTTTAGCTTTGTGGATTCAAAATGAGTCATCATTTACTCAGCAGGAACTGCTGGGTCATTGAATGAGGTGTGGATATTTTTTTTATGTAACTAGAGATAAACGTCACTAAATGTTGCTTTTGGTCTTAAGTTGTGTACATATTCTTGTTGTTCATTTTTTGTATTATTTATTTTTATGAGTTTTCATCCACATTTTTTTTTCTGGGTTGGTGTTTTATGACGTTGATTTATTCCCACTGATTGTATTCTTGTGCATGCAGGGGGAACCTCTGCTGGTGACTCTTTGTGTTACTTATTTCGTTGCAAAATAAAGCAAAAATATGTTCCTTTTTAAAATTTGAGTGTGCCTCTCTCTCTCGAACAAAAAAAAATCTTGTCTGCATGATTGCGTTCAAGTGAATTTTAAAGCAGGACATGTTTTACCTGGCTTACCTGGAACCCTGATCCAAAACATATGTATCAGATCAGCTTTTAAAAAAACAACACCAAAAAAACACATGAACCGGATAAACAGGTCTTTCAACACGTTGCTGTCATCATTTTCACATTCATTATGTCAGAGGTACTTCTACTTCCTATTTCTGCTATTTAAAATATCAAGCTGTCTGTCTCTCAGACACTAGAGGACATATCAACACACCAGTTTCATCAGAAGCAGCAATCGTCAGATGATTAGAACCGGGCTGTCCCCTGGATGCTTTTCACATCAGCTATGGTGGAAATCGACGCTTCCAACTCCTTTCTGACTGTGGTGAGAGTGCTGCGTGTTTCCCTGGTGGATGAGCTGGAAGGACACATCGACTCCCTGGTGGAAGAGCTAGTGGATCAGAAAGCGTTCACTCGGGACGACCGAGAGGAAGTGCTGTGTCAGCCGGGGCCCCGGGCCAGAGTGCGGAAGGTTTTGGATATCCTGGAATGCAAAGGGGAGGAAGCGGCGAAAGTTTTCTTGTCTGTTAGAAGTCATCAGCAGCTCTCCAAGAATGCACCTCAAGTTCCAAGCTCAGGTTTGGGAAATTTTAACTGGGAAAATGTGAAGAGACATGGTGTACAATGACTTTCCTTAGTTTTGAATAAGTTGAAATGTAGCTTAAGACCTTTATTTAAATATAATTAACATGGGGTGCATGCACTAAAGCTGCTATGTGGTTAGCCTTCACTTTTGTTTTCTGTAAAAGAAAACATGCTGACTGTATTTTTAGAGAAGGCAACTAACAGATTTCATTGTACTAAAGTCAATTTGTTTGGTTGAAACCCTTTCAGCTCCAAATCGGTTGTTAGGATCGAGCAAACAAACAGCTGGTAAAACATCAGCAATCGCATACCATTTAACACACATTGTTTGTGACTTTACACGATTCTTTCAATTAACTTCTCAACTCATTTTAACTTTTAAAAACTGTTGCCTTTAATCAGCCCTGTTTTCTTTCTAAAACCAGTTATTCTCTACATTAACATTTTCTTCATCTAAGTCAAGGAAAAGCTTGCACTTTAATATCAAATTAACATTATAGCATAATAAATTGGAATATTATTGAAAAGCTCATTTATTTCAGTAGCTCAGTTCAAGTGAAATAGATGAATTACACACAGACTGAAGTTTTCAACCCTGGATGTTTAATTAATTATGGAAGGGTTTCGGTACATCCAGGTTGATTATGCTGCATGCACTGGAAAAAAAATCTGATAAAACCTGTCTCTGTGTGAAGATGTTTATACAAGTGTGTTAATTAATTTTGTATTTTGTGACAACAGAATCTGTGATTTATTTGTTTTGTTTCAAGTGGAGCAAAACTGTAGATATAGTTTAATGTAAATTGTGACTCAAAGAACATAATTTGTCTACTTATGAATTTGAAACTGTTTTGTATTTCTTAAAGACTGAAAACTGAATATGTCATTATATAACTCATAAGTTTTCGCTGTGACTTTACAATCTCTAATACGTTTGCACCAAATATACCTCCATAGCAAGTAAGCAAATTTACAATTCACCTTTTTTGCCACTGCAGAGTACAAGAAGATACAACAAAAGCACAAAGATGTCCTGAGGCGCCGGAGTGAGAGCATGCTTTTCTACAACAGTAGGCATGGAGACAAAATCCTCTTTTCTGAACATTACGTCAACCTCCTATTAGTGGATGGACACCAGGCCTTGGAGATTAAGAGACACGAGGTTCTGGCTTTTGGACAAAAGAGATTGTCTCTACAGCATAAATCAGGGCTGCAAAGGAAAATTGCACCAGCTGAACTGTTTTTGAGAACAAACGAAAAACGTCCAATAAAGAAAGTGCTGGTGACTGGGGTGGCGGGAATTGGCAAAACGGTTCTGGTGCAGAAAATTCTCTTTGATTTCGGGCAGAACAAGGACCACCTGGGATTTGACTTTGTTATTCACATGAGCTTTAGAGATTTAAATCTTATTGACAAACCCACAAACTTCAGAGACTTGGTACTTCGTAAAAATAGGCACCTTGCTAAAGAACTGGATTACATCTTAGCTAACGATGACAAACTCCTAATCATCCTGGATGGATTTGACGAGTTCAGACACTACCGGAGCTGCGACGTTGACGTATTTGTGTCTGAGCCACAGGAGGATGCAGAGGTGAATGAAATTTTGGGGAGTTTGTTGCAGGGTGAGCTGCTACCCAATGCCTCTGTCATGCTCACAAGCCGGCCCACAGCTATCAACCACATCCCTATTGGATGCATAGACCGCTATGTGCTCATTGCCGGATTCTCCATAAATGAAGTTCAAGACTTCTTCCTGAGGTATTTCCAGGATGCTACTGTGGCTGGCAGAATGTTTTCAACGGTTTCAGCAAATGAACTAATGCTGACACTATGCTATATTCCTGCTTTCTGCTCCATTGTGTGCTGCATCCTCAATGAGAGCAAAGATCTTTGTGGGGAAAGCCTAAAGACCATGACGGATATTTACGTGCAGTATCTGGTGGCTTTGCTCCGTTCTCACACCCAGTCAAGAACTAAGACGTGTCCTGAAGACCAAGGAGCAAAAATCAACCTGCAGCTGTCTGATATTGTGTTGAAGCTAGGTCGACTTGCCTTTACAAAGCTAATGGAGCATCAAACACTCTTTTACAGCAGCGACCAAGATGTGGCTGGGCTGGAGGGATGCAGCATGGTTAGCACCTTCCTTGATACGACAGTTGCACAAGAGCCCGGCTGCACTGAAGAAGTTTTCTCCTTTGCCCACCTCACTGTTCAGGAGTTCTTTGCTGCTCTTTACTGTGCTGTGACGGATCAACCATTGCCTGATGCAATGCAGAGCAGTGACAACCAAAACAATGGACACTTGGACCTCTTCAGCCGCTTCCTGTCTGGAATCCTCTCAGATCGGAATTCCAGTTTTCTGTCAAGACAAGTGGGACTTTGTTGCAAGGAGGAAAAAGTAGAGATCTACCGTCAGAAGATCACAACAGATCTCGCAATTCTTTGTGAGAATGGAGCCCATATTCTGAACTGCTTACATTGTTTGTTTGAGCAGCAGGACCAGTCAATGACCCTATCAGAGCTCCCAGAATTACTTAGAGTAAATGTCAGCGACGAAACTCTCGCTCAAATGGACCGGAATGCCATAAAGTATTTCCTAACCCTCACAGAAGGCAAAATACTATCAGAACTGGATCTTACAGGGACTGGAGTGAACTGTGACTCTCTGAGAGATATTCAACCATTTCTGCATAGATGTCAGAGACTGTGGTGAGTGCCACGTTAAACTTAGCTCACCTGCAACTGCTGAAGGTGTTGTAAATGCATCTGTTCCCCCTTGAAGTTTTCCACTTTTTTGCCACATTCAAATCCCAGAAAACCTCTTGAATTTATTTTCAACAACCTTTTTTTTCTGGCTCTACCAGATAAACTGCAGTAGAACCAATTATTGAGAGTATTCAGAAGTCACCTTATCAGTCATTGGTAATTCTTTGTGTAATTTATAGCCAGTATGAAACTTAATAGATCACCACAGATGACTGCACTAGATTTGGTTAAGGGTAATCAGAGAAAAAGGGGCACAATGAAAGACATATCCCATTTTTCATTCATAAAACCTCTTGACTACCATTCTCCTTCCATTTCACATGCTATATTTTGTTTTGATCTGTGACACAAAGTTCCAACAAAATACCTTAAAGTTTGTGGTTACAATGTGACAAAAAGGTGAAAAGATTTAAGTGGTGAGAATGTGTTTTGCAAGGCATTATATCTATTTCCATGAACTCTCTTTATTCCAAAGGCTTGGAGAAAATAATTTAGACATGGATGCAGTTCAGGTCATTGCAGATGTAGTGAAGATCTCAGAAAACCTCACGCACCTGGGGTAAGATTTCATTCATTCACACGCGTCCAGCGACTATATCTGAATTAATTTTCACATAATTTCAAACAGTATACACTGACAAAACCTTTTCTGACTGAATTAATTCATTAACAGGGTCTCACTCAAACAATGTCCCTCTTTCTGTTCTTTCTTCAGGCTTGGATGGACAAACATTGGTGACGATGAACTACAAACTCTTTGCACTTCGATCCGGGTGAAAAAGAAGGTTCAAGAATTGTGGTAAGGTGAAACTTGTAGCGTTGAGACATAATACGATTAGAGAAGTGAAAGCAGGTTAACAGAATGAGAAATATCCTATTGCATGTTGTACAACAGCTTGTTTCCCCTCTAACTTCTGCTTTTTTTCTGTCCAATTAAAATTTTGAATATTCTTAAAAATTTTGTGTATTTTCTTGGTAGCCAAAAGAGACGCAGAGAAAAGGGAATAGAATCTGACGCAGAGAAAAGAGAATAGAATCTGAATGTTGATTCATGTAGCTGTGTCTTGAAAAAGTATTCATACATCTTTCATTTTTTTTCACGTTACTGTATTTTATTGCAATTTCAAGTGACAGACCAACACAAAGTGGAGGACAAATGGGACATGGAAGGAAAACTTAAATGGTTTTTAAAAAAAGAAAACTGTCCTTGTCTGACCTGTAAATTTAGGCAAAATCCTGATAGGTTTCAGTGTGCCATGGTCTTCCTATGTTCAGATAATGAAACAAATAGCACTCCATGTTTTTTTTTAAGTATGTTATTTATAACTTAACCCTGCTTTAAATTTGTCCACCACTTCATTCTTGACCTGTCTGGTCAAGAATGAAGAATGTTATTTGGTCTTCAAGGTGATGTTTGTTTACTAATCTTCTCTAATAAACTTCTGATGCCTTCACAAAACAACTAGATCATCCTCAGATTAAATTGCAGACATGCAGATTCTCTTTACTAATCGAGTGACTGGATTTTATTGAGAGGCATTGGGATCTAATTGGGCACAATATTGTTTGCAGATTTTATTTGAAGAAAAAAATGGAAAATTATGAATTATGCAATACTTTGTGTTATAAATAAAAAATCACAGTAAAATACACAGGAATGTGCTGCTATAATGTGAAAAAACTTAAGCAACGTAAATGTGAATACCTATGAATTAATCATTTGTTCCCACAGGTTGGAGGGTAATCGAGTTAGTCACAGAGGTCTGCTATCACTCGCTGATTTGACGCCTGATCCACTGCAAATAATTGTGTAAGTTTAAGCTTTTTTTCAACGTACAGAACTCTAAAGCTTTTTTAATTACTATTATTTTTTATTTCCTCTTCTTTTTTCAGGGTCATATGGAACAACTTGTATGAGACCGAGTCGGAGAGTCTGTGCAGCCAGGACAGCATCACAGTAAATTTTACAGATGAACAACTGTGGGAAGAGTGGGGGCAATGGGTTTTTAAGCGCTGCCAGGTCAGCAGCAACGAGAAGCTAGTGACGGTACTCCACAAAGTTTGCAACATGTCAAATGACTGTCTGGAGCTCCGCTGGGCAAAGACCTTTTACAGTCAACTGTCGCAGCTCATAAAGAGCCGGATAGAGTGCTGCACGGAGGACGACATGTGCAAGAAACTCCAAAAATTTGACAGTCTTTTAAATCTCTGAAGACGTGAGAACAATTTATTTCCTGCGAATTGTTTCATGAAAGACTAAAGAATGAAAAGGAATGGCACATGGAACAACGTCATTACTTTCTCTTTTAATGATTAACACTAAAACCACAACACTTGTGTGCCAAAATTACCTAGAAAGGATTGGAGCAATACAGTCACAATAAAACGTTTTCCAGATTCTAAAATTGTTTACAAAAATACACACCAAAAATTCCCTTGGTGTTTAGAAAGAAAAACCGTTGAAGCAAAGCAATATAGAAAAGTAAGCGCATCTTTGCTGCTTTCATAGGCTTAAGAATAAAAAGTAACACACGTTTCATTTTTCTATCATCAGCCAGTATAAATGTCTCTACACATGTTAGATTCAACAAGCTTCAGTAAGTATCAAAAATGTTTAAGTTCAAGACTACATAATTAGAAAAAGGCAGAAGAAGTGCGACTTATTTGGAGGGATTTGTTTGGAGGAAAAATGTTTAAAAGATTACAGTATTACCACGTTGGTTTTGCATCTGAATGAATCACAAAACTTGAGTCACAGAACCAAATTTAGAGAAAATCATACACAGTATATGAGCAAAAATCTTGTACCAACTGCCAAGCATCATGACTGAAGTTGATAAATTGTCATTCTGCTACAGCAACATTTTGTGACCCCTTAAAAATTAACTATGACCTCCTCTACTTACCAAATTACCATAGAATCAAAAATAAGCCCTTCTCTCAAAACATGACCTCAGCTGGGGTATGCAAGAATAGAAGTGGTGTTGAAAGAAGAGCGGTCCAAAAATCCCCACAATGACGTGACACACTTTATAAAATGACTACTCCAGGTCACTGCTGCTAAAGGTCGTGTATGGGGTGTACTCATCTTTTTACAAGCAACTTTGACATTTTAACTTTAGGGAGGTGAGGGTGACTATGCCTGAGCAACATAATTTTTGATTGAGGGGAAGGATTATAAGCATCATTTATGAGCCAAGCAAACCAGGGGGAAGACGCAAACTACATTCAGAAATACCTCAATGGATAAGTATTTGCATTAAAAAACGTGGCCCGTACGGGGATCGAACCCGCGACCTTGGCGTTATTAGCACCACGCTCTAACCAACTGAGCTAACCGGCCTCTCGTGGACAGACCACCACAAATATAGATATCTATACCTCTGAATTCAGGTTATTCAGGGGTCCATGTTCTGTTTTGTTATTTATTGTTTCTGCACCAGACACCCAGCAGGGTCGTATTTTTCCATGCTGTTTTCAAAAATATTGACATTTCCCTGAAAGCAACAGCACCACTGCTCCGCCCCATCGACCGGATGTGCTTTTACTCATCTTCCAAATTAAATCAGACTATAGGGAAAGTTTTGTGTATACACACAATTGCCCTGCGACAGACTGGCGACCTGTCCAGGGTCTACCCCGACTCTCGCCCGGAACGCAACTGGAGATAGGCACCTGTAAATATAATTTTTATTTTTTTTACTATAACCTGTCATATTTCATAGATGGGTGTCTCTAAGAAGTTTTCAAATGGGTGGTCAAATAAGGGCATTTATATTGGTTCGGGATATTAAAACCAAAAGCCATGAGTAATTTTTTTTATTAGTGTATATTGTTCAACAAATACACCATTGTAATGGTTGTTCACTAATGGTTTGTTTAAGGTGTGAAACTTTGATTCAGAACCGCAGTACGGTATTTATATTATATCATTATTTTTTCTTTATGCTGTTTGTTATTTTATTATATGTATTTATGTATTTATTTTTTGGCATGTACATCATTATGTAATTAATTAATAAAATTGTTACAAACGCCCGGGATGGTAAGCTTGGACATTTATTTTGAAATCACGAACCGGAAACTTAACTCGTTCCTCTGACGAAATAACTGTGCGCCATGTCCGAAAGAGCAGCTTGTGTTGTGTGGCTGGAGCTAGCTCTGATTTAAGCCTATTTTTGCATTTATCAACGGGTTAAACTCCTCAAACAGGGTGAGTTCTACGGACGAGTATGTAATTTAAATGAATGTGGAATGAGTTGTTTAGAAAAGCATTTTAAGACTGCAGTATTTTGAATCTGTCGCCACTCGCTTGTTTTCATTCATTAACGTCACAAAGTTGCTAAAACAGCCAATGAGTTACTTATAAGTCAAACGATATGAAGATCATTCAGAATCTTTTGTCATCTGGCCCGTTTATTTTGTACAGGTGCTGGAAAAGGCTTGGGGCATGCTAATGATTTTTTTTTTTTGTGATCAAATAACCGAATCAAGATAGAAAAGTTCAGAAACACTCTTACCTCTGCTCTCTAACATTGTTTTTTTGTGTTAAAGCATCACTTTGCTACCCCACATTAATCATGATGAAGACAGAGAAGGAAGCAGGGGATGATGGAGCAACAAAACCCAGTGACAGTAGCAAGGAGACAGAAAAAAAGAAGCGATCCCGTGTCAAGCAGCTCCTCACCGACATTAAGAGGCAGGTGGAGTTCTGGTTTGGAGAGGTCAACCTGCACAAGGACCGCTTTCTGAAAAAGCTCATCGATGAGTCAGACAGTGGATGTAAGGATCTAGTGACAAGACTGAAAATGTAAATATAAAATTGAGAATACATTAGACTTTGCACCTCACTTCTTTGGTTGCAGATGTTGACATATCTGTGCTGACGAGCTTCAGTCGCATGAAGAAGCTGACGACTGACACTAAGCTGATCTCTAGAGCCCTGAAGAATTCATCCGTAGTGCAGGTACGGCTTTTGCTCCAAATAATTATCACATGGTTTGCACTATTTTTCTAATTCAATCTTCCAGGGGCTCAAACATGTCAGTGATGCATAAAAACAAATAATTGTTTTGTTTCAGGTTAACCTTGAAGGAACTAAAGTAAGACGTAAACATCCCCTTGGAAGCCCACCGAATAATGTTGACAGCCGGACGGTGTATGTGGTAAAACACATTTTCTTCTTCTGCAACCTCTGACGGGTTTTACCAGAGCCGTTGCCAGAGCTCCTTCTTCCACAAGCCTCATCCTTTAAATGGCTCGTTTAAAAATGCAAACAGGACTTCTTATGACTTTCTTTCAGCACTGGCTTTCTTTCTGCTCATCCTTTAAGAATAGGATGAGCAGTTCTAATAGTTCTAATATCAGATTTTTTCATGAGTTGTTCTTTCCTGCAGATTCCATTGTATAACTCCCATTTTTTACATGATCCACAAGATGGGACTACAAGAGATTTTAAAAACTAGAGATAATGTACCATGATTTCAGTCTCTTTTTCTTTAATCTGTCTGAATGGTGGTTCATCATTGATGAGCATTGCAGTAATTTCAGAAAGTTTGACATCATGTGGCCCACATTCTGAGGGATTTTTTTTTTAAAGTCTGTCAGGAAAAATTAAAAAAATAAAAGTTTTTAAACCACCGTTGACTGATAATTCTAGAAACACTAACGTAATGACGTGCTGTAGTTTTTCTTTTAATTAGTTCAATTATTAAACTATCCATTTTTTTATTGTCTCTTCCCCCTTCAAGGAACTTTTACCGAAGGATGTGACTCACAGCTGGATCGAAAGAGTTTTTACAAAGTGCGGGAATGTGGTGTACGTCAGCATACCCAGATACAGGAGCACCGGTGACTCTAAAGGATTTGCCTTTGTCGAGTTTGAGAAAGAGGAACAAGCTCAAAAAGCTATTGAGGTGATTTTAAGGGGGTTTTTGTGTTAGAAAAAAAAAGAAAACAAACTGATGAATTTTATGCATCAGTTGCTTGATGTGATCTGTGTGTTAATATAGAAAGTTGCTGACTATCTCTCTAAAACAAGCTAAATTAAATTTCATTCGTCGCACTTTTTTCTTTTGCGTGATTCTAGAGATTGTGAAATCAGTGATACAAAATATTTAAATTGCACTGTTTCCAGCTAATATGTGCCCTCTTGGTAAAGGGCGTGGAATCTTTGGGACATTAAGATGAAGATAAGAATTTTTAGGCCATTTAAAAATCTTACACATGCTGTTTGCTTCAAAAGAAGCCGTGTGATAAGTTTTAATTTCTGAAACAGATGTTGAACAACCCTCCTGAAGACGCTCCAAGGAAGCCGGGGATTTTCCCCAAAACATTAAATAGGAAGCCTATTCCTTTTTCTGTGGACAATCCACAGTCACGTAAGTTGAAATGTTTCAATTTTTGCCAACATATCATAGATCAGAAAGCTACTTTTATGACACTTACTGGGCGGTAATATTCCGTAGGGGAGGAGGAGAAGAAAAAGCGCAAGAAGAAAAAAAAGAAGGATGGAACAACAGCAGCAAAGGCATCAGCAGAAAAAGTTCAAGAGGTTGCAATGGAAGCAGAGCCATCAGAGCACAAGAAGAAGCACCTGACAGCATATTGTGATCCGGAGACCAGCAGCACACAGAAGACACCGGGAAAATTATCAGAGAAAAAACGGCGGCGGTCACAGACTGCAGAGGGATCAGAGAGTGACGTTCCCTCTAAGATTAGGAAAACCAGTGAAAGTGAAACTGGGCATAAGGAGGAAGATGAAGCCAGCATGAGTAAGTTCACATTCATTTCCGTCTCTCTTGTACTCCAGGTATGTCTTGTTTATGTACGTGTTTTTTCGTACCACACTTTTTTCCTTCCACCGAACCTTCCATCAGTTTGCCAATAATCTTTTGTGATTGACCCTCCTTGCGGAAGTTGTCAATAATTGTCTTCAGGACAACTGTCAAATTGAATAACACTTCTGTGTTTAAAATGTGTTTTATTTCACATTTTAATTTAGCAAGAAAGTACATTTTAAAATATTCCTTGAGCTCTAAGAAAAAATCATGAAGGTTTGAAAATGTACTATAATAATTTCTGGCGTTTTCAATTATCTCTTTTTTTTTTGTAATTAAAAATAGCTGCTACCTGATCATTCTTCACACTTCAATTCAATTGCGTGACAGTGATCTACTCGACAAAAGAATGACCCGCATTGAGTTAATTTGTCCTTTTTTAAGGAAATGACAAGTGTAATCACATGCCTAATAAATCCTTGGCTGTTTACTGTGTTATTCCCCATCTCAGATCTGCCCAATAAAAGCGACACAGAGGGAAACACGGAAAAGGGGAAGGAAAACAGAGATGACATGACTGTGAAGGCAAAGAGGAAGAGAAAAAAGAAACACAAAGAGAAGCTGAAAATTGGAGAGGAAGTCATCCCGTTGCGTGTTCTAGCAAAGTAAGCCCTACATCCCTTTTTCAATCATTTGTATCGACACTGGTTCAATATAGTAAAGCCCCTGCTGGATTCCATCACAGCGTTGTTCTTTTAAATGTCTTGTCTATTTGAAGGAAGGAGTGGCTTCAGCTGAAAGAAGAGTATTTGGTCCTACAGAAGCGCAGCATGGCGTCCCTGAAGAAATGCATCAGCAAGATTAATCACAAGGACGATGACGCTGCTCAGGATGGAAACGGTGATTTTGGATTTTAGGCTGTTTTGATGATTACCGGTAGTTATTTTTGGGATAACGTTGGCAAATTGCATAAAACCCCTAAAACGTCCACTGCAGAGGTCATTTCCACATTTGCAGGAATGGCTAGGGAGGTCTGCATGTGTTTGAAAATTACAAACCCACGGCGATAGATGGTGCAGTTGTCACATTTCTGACCATAGATCAAGTCTTTTTCTGTAATATTTGGACCTCTTTCTGAACCAAAAAATGTCCGTAAGAATGAGCTCTACTCATATCTGAAAATATGCTTTATTATTGAATTTTGTGTTCTTCTCCTCTCTTTCAGTTGATATGAGCAACAAAGCGGAAAAAGAAACTAAACAAGGTCCACAGTTTGTCAGTGGCGTCATTGTGAAGATTACCGACAGCAAACCGTTACCAGCGAGGAAGATCATCAAAGTACAGTAACCTCCATGATCTTAACTAACTTCTGAAATTCAAAGACTGGGTGATTTACTTACTTTTCACACGGATGCGCTTCAATAAGTTAGAACTTTGTTGGAGTTTTAAGGTTTTTCTGTGACTTATTTCAAAAAGTGAAGAAAGTGTTTAGATTTATTCACAATAATATGGAATAAATCTAAAATTTTCTAATAAAGAAAATGCAAAAAGCTTAAGTATTACATAAGATCACTACTTACTTTACATGATGAATATTTTGTTTCTCCATGGCTGAATATTTGTATGTTTTTTCTTCCACCCAACTTTCCATCGACACACCTAGATGAAGCAGACTGTAATTGGCTTTTTTCTTCAGCAGTTATATTTTGTGGGTTTCCTTCCTTGTTGAAACTGTCAATAACTGTTGACTGTCAGTGTAATTTTATGTTGCTCTATCTGTCGTCTCTCATTGATGTTTGCACAGGATGCTCTGTCCAAAGTGTCTCCAGTCGCTTATGTTGACATTTTGGATGGAGATGTTGAATGTCACGTCCGTTTCCACACACCGGAGGACGCTACCGCCATCAGCAACGCTAAAGAGCAGCTGCAGAAGGAACACAGCTGGAAGCTGGAGATTCTTGAAGGTCAGAAAGTTTTCTCCTCAATATGCAGAGAGAAATTTACATATAATGTTTGAGCATTTTGAGATTGCTTAAAGATGTACTTGTTCTGAAGTGCTTTTGTTTTTTTTTTCTTTCTATTTTGGATACTCTGTTTAATCTTACGTTAAAGGTGGCCATGAACAGCGGTACTGGCAGAAAATTTTAGTGGACCGCCAAGTCAAACTGAATCGTCCCAGGGAGAAGAAGCGAGGCACAGAAAAGGTGACGCTAAACGTTAAAAAATTTTTTTTAAATAAATCAGGGATAATTGGCTATAATTTGCTGAGATATGTTGTTTTGATCAAACCGAAACACAAACACAAGAAAAAGATTAAAATTCTCGCGTTACCATTGTAATGAATAATCTTCATAATGAATAATCCCATTATGAAGATTTTTTTAAAAATAATTCCTTTAAAATGTGAAAATCTTTTAATTTCTCAATACAATACTCAGGCCGGCTCTGTTTACTTGCAGAATCTTTTCCAAGATTTTAATTGTTCCATTTCTAGTGTTACGGCTCCACACAACGTATCTCATACCCTACAAGTAGTACATCTTTCAGGGCTTTTTTTTGATCTTTCATTTCATTTTCATTATTTTGTCACTTTGCAGCTCATATCCAAAGCTGAGAAAATCATCATTGCTCGAGCCAAGGAGGCCAACAAGCACATCCGCTTTGAAGAAGACTGAGATCCCCCAGACTTACCACTCCAAGTTTCCACTGATGAATACTTGGCTCAAGTAGAATTGCCCAATCGTGTTCTATGTGTCATTTTGTGGTCACACTGGAGCCGCTGTCATAAACCAGGATGCTGCTAGGGTTAAAGATGGTTAAATTTTTTTTTTTTGTTACTATATCAGTGTTTTTTTCTAAAAGCAGCCCTGTATACGTGTAAATATTCTTTTTCAGAAATGTTCTCCAGTAAAGACGTGGTAGAGTCAACACCTGCTTTTTAATAAAATGAAATAACATGCTTTCAGTTTCTGGGTTTGTAAATTTTCACTTCAATTTCTTTTTATTTTAATTTAGTAATTTAAAAAAAAAAAAAGTAGGTTTAAGATCTGTAGACAATGTTTATCCAATCTTGTAATTGTTTTGTAACAGAAACCAAAACCTATTATAAGTTTCGTTAATCTAACTATGGTCATAGTTTCTTGATGAGTATCTAAAGAGCACATGTGGATGAAAATATCTTGTTTAATCCAAATATTTTGCTGTTCTTAATCAAACATTTATGTCTTTACCAAAAATAAAATTTTGGTAAAGACACAAGTAAATAAAAAAAAAACATACCATCTAAAGCAAACACACTTGTTTTCATCTTCTAATCAAAAATAATGAAAATTGTCAGACAATGAGTGTAAAAAATATGCAAACTCCAAATTCCGTTGTTCTATTTAGACATTTATTGTTTCAAATGTGAAAAAGACCCAGCGGTTATTACGGCTCAGCGAACACCAGCTCACCGCTCCTGCCAGTAAATACTGGAAAAGCTTTTGAAGGCAGGATTTTGGTGCTTCTCCATGACGTCGCAATCACACTTGTCGGTAACTCTATTCATCTTTTTGGATGTGGGCTCTTTAATTACCCACCTTTTAAAACAGTCAACTGGTTGCATTCCAGCTGCAGTTTTTAAAAAATTTTCTTGAGAACCAACGTCTTTTTTTTTTTTTTTTTAGAAGCCTTCACTGTTTGTTGCTTGATATTCAATGTGGAATTTTCTAACGCCTGGCGGGGTTGAGATCTTCAGTTTCGATCGATCTGGTCTTGAATTCAAGATGTTCATGGTTTGTAGTCCGAGTCTCCAGCAGTATGACTGACCAACAGGTGGTAACCCCTTGTTAAGCTATTGCCGGTGACGGATGTAATCCACTCTATAGGTGGTGGTGGTTTCAAAAGGCATTATCTTTTCTCTTGTTGTAAAGGTTCGATTTCTTTGTGAATTTATTAACCTCTGGCAATAGGTTGAGTCCGTGTTAAACCTGTCCGGCACCTCTTGCCTCCAGTTTCGGTAATCCCCTGTTGGACATAAGTGTGATACTAATTAAGTTGGAATAATTAGCTGTATTGCATGTATGAGAACGAGCATTAACCAGTCGCTTACTTTTATACACGCTTGTGTAATCCGCCACAGACCAACCCGGAGGTTCCGGGGTGGATGCAAACTTCCGTACAGTGATAATGTTTTTTGTTGGGAGAGGCATCCTTATTCTCTTTGGTCGAGAGCTTGGTTGTGGTTTGATTACAAACTTGCTTCTGTAAGACAAATCACAGAACTCAAAGAGTTTTTATTTTATTAAGGGGTTACAGACAGTGTCTAATATAATTCATGAACATTGAGGGAAATAAACGCTTTATCTCCGACAGATTATTTCAGATGTTTGCTTAGTATTTTCCGTGTTACAGATTTTTCTTCTGTTTTAGCCCCATGTCATCAAATAATGTTATTTATAAAAGATAACCTTCCTAAAAGGGAGTTTCATTAAGGGGAGAGAGGGCATCCTATTCAATCTGAACCTATTTGAAAAGTAAATATCCCTCAATAGGTAGCCCCATTGGCAGCAATAACTCTTGTATTTTCGATGACTAACATTGACTCTTACATGAGTGTATGGAAAACGTCAACCACGTTTGACCATTTTTAAGCATTAACATTCTGTTTACGATCATAACATATCGACAAAATTGATATATTGTAGATGTTCTGTTCTCGAACCCCCTATGGGCATAGGTGTAAGAAGATGGATGGATGGATGTTCTGTGCCAAACATGGGAGCTTGAATTTGTCCTCTGAGTTTGATTGTCCGATGTTCCCAGTGATCTTATTAGTTGAGGGCTGACCAATTTTCATCATTCCAAAACCCATGAGGGTACAGACTAAAGGGTCTTGAACATCAACACCAACCCATATCACATTCCCAACATGCATTTTGATGTCTGTCTTTCATTTTGTCCTAACTGTCCTTCGACAGTTTTTTTGGCCTTGTCCAACGGGTGGCGAGGTTACAATAGAAACAATTGATGTTGCAGACAGGTGTTATCTTACACTTGAGCTGAGATGTTTAAACACACAACCAATCTGTGGAAGCTAAAACTGTGACTTGTCTGGGGCCAAACATTTCTACCAATTGAGTTTCTGCTCATCTCTGATTATTCCAATAAAATCCAGGCCTAGTCAGGGGAAAAAAAAATATTTCCAAGATTATTTCGTCTCTAATAACTTTCCAGGAATCCTTGATCATCTGAACCTGTCTGGCAGAGACAACACGAGTTTTATACCAAGGATAACCAAGGATAAAACAAAGGGCGAGACAGTGTGGTTCTGATGGAGCGGTGAAAAACAACTTCCAACCTTGTACATGTGACCCAAATAGCTTTGTCTTGGTGGGACTGTACAGGAACTTAGAATAAACACATATAGCAACACAACAAGCAGATGTGACCTTATTGTAATTTTTCCACTTCAACCTCATCAGTAAGAGCAAGATTAAAACATTCCAACACATATAACATGCTTGAAGCTTTGATAAAACGTCTATACCTGACCGTAGCTACATCAAATGGTGTGCCCTTTAGTGTATGGTAAGGGTTCTTCTCTTTTGAAGTGTAACACATGGAGGTGTATCTTCTGGGATCAACGAAGGTGGTCTGGTATATGGTTTTTGGAGGGGGGCCAATATGGCCTCTATAAAAACTGCACATCAAGGCACAACACAAAGCAACAACTTGGGTTTATCTTTGGATATATCAACAGATTATTTTAAACACGATAAAATGATACATTTGGTAGATTTTTTTTTTGTCCTATAAAGAACTATTTTCTGGGGGGGAAAGGAAAGTCAGAAGAATTATGCATACAAACATCTAGATATTCAATGTCCTAGATCAAATTTTGTATCTCTTCATATAAGAAAAAAAACAGACACATGAACTCACCTCATCTTTAGCTGACAGATTCAGGACGGTTGCGGTCCTTTCTCCTCAGCCGTGGATGTGATCTGCAAACATGAATTATTGCAGATTGTGGTGTGTGTGTGTGAGTTGAACGACGGTAGGAGATGAGCTTCTAAAAATAAACACCGTTGGATCCTGCGTGATGCGGCGGGCCGCTACCCGGGGTGACGCGCTTTTCAGACTCTAAGAAGATTCCAAACTCCCACTGGAGGTTCGATGCTGCAACTTTTGAAATAAATCACCAAATCAGCTCGGGCATTGACGTCACTCTTGATTTGACTCGTGCACCGGACAACGTGACTGTCCCACCGGGACGCCATCTGTCACTTTTTACTCAGGAGAAAATCGTTTCCTTTTTAGAGGAAAACGATTTGCTCAGCCTGAAAATAAAAATAAAAATAATGTTTTTAAAGTTTAATAAAAGTCACTTATTCAAGTAGGTAGAAGAAGGCTTAACATTAAGATGAAATGTTGGTCGATGAAAGCGATTCTTTCTTTAGTCCACTAGATGGCGACAAAACACAGGAGAGGAAAAAACTCAAAACTGAGCGTGGTTGCAACATTGATCATTTCAAATTTCATCAATCGGTAAATTACAAATCATTTCAGTGGACTAAAATTTCATTTACTTTTAGAAAGTGAAAATCCTATACATTAAATCATATATAATTTGTATATGATTTACATATACAAATTTGTACAAATTTTTATGTACAAAATTTGCAATTTTGTACATAACTGACAAATTATATAATTTGTATATGTATTTTCTACAGATGTGATGGTCGTAACACAGCCAGGTTGTTGAGTCAAAGGCTTTGCTTATTGACTCAGCGCCTAACAGTTGAAGACAAGTGTCATTCCTGCATCACTGTAGACAAGGTCCCCCAAACCATCTATCACACAAAAGTAAGACAGAGAAAACAGGCCGCCAGACTTGGAGGAGCTGATGCTCAATCACGCATTGCTGCACAACACTCCTCTAAATGAAAAAGGTGATGCCTTCATGACACTAAACACCTGCAAAAACCAAAATTGAGACCCAGAGGTTCCACACCAGACATCCTCTTAACCCTGACTATTGCTTTAATGATATAGACTATTCTTGTCTATTGACACCACAAACTTGATCCAGATCCACATGCATGATAAGATAAACTCCCACAAGCCTTTCAGCAACCAGTGAGTGCAGCGAGACCCAGAAGAGCAAAACCTTAGAATACCTAAAAAGGAAACTTTTACAATTAAAGTGTAACAAACCCTGCCAATGACAAAGTGTGAGAAATTCCACCATGCCAAGTCGTTGATGTCCACAGTTCTGGTAGATGGCAGTAAATGCACCTTCAGTTGGTTTGTGAACAAAACCCTAAAAGAAGAAGAAGAAGAGATAGGGCCACATGTATAGATAAACAGAGGCGACAAGCAGGATCGTGATAAAAAAAGAATATATCATAACCAGGATAATTTGGACATAATTTGGACATAAGGGATTAAATAGTACTCCTAAACTAATTAATATACATATACAGGTTGTAATTATTGTGAACAAATAGAAACAATACAACATATATATATATTTAGAATTTTTAGTATGTTCATGAATAGAGGTGTTAATTAGAAATGTAAATAGGAATAAAGGTATATTAGATATAAGGGAATTGTTTCAGAGATCATTGGGGATGTAGTTTTTAACAGTATTTTTATTTTTTTTAAAGAAGAATGGGTGTTTGGGGGAGATTGTAGTAGGAAAAGCATCTCATTTATACTCCAATCTGGAAGGTGGCGGTAATGCACCTTTTTTAACCGACCGTAAAAAAAGAGAAGAAGAACAACAAGCAGCAGAAAGAGGATAGTCGTCATTTCACCCAAATAGTCGGTATATTTATTGACCCGTAAACTCATCCTCAAAAAACAAAAACAAACAAACAAAAAACAAACAAACAACCAGTGAGAAATCTAGCGACTTTATAGACTTTACGCTTTATAGCCCTGCTGTGTCGTTAGCAATTAAGGAGCCTCTTCCGGTTCTGACACAGTTGTCCTTCCTGTCTGCCGTCCCCCAGCAGTCGGAGCAGAGGATATCCACACCTTATATCCACATATCCCAATGCTCGCTGCGGTCGCTATTCCAACTCCTGGGTTTTATACACGAACCGGGACGTGAAGAAGTTGTACCAAACTAGCAACCAGGAAGATTCAACTGCAACTTTCAACTGAAGGAGACCGCTTAGGTAAAGTGTTGCCAAAGTGAAGAAATTTTATGAAAAATGTTTATTTGTTTATTGTGAGTTAAATATTGCACAGTAAGAGCTTTGGCGAACATATAGCTTTACTCAGGCACACAAAGTATTGAAGTCTTAAATACAAATATATAGGCCTATATATATATTTAACTGACTGGCTTTATTATCATTGTCTTGAAGCAACACAAAAATTAGACAGAGAAAGAAAATACATATGAATTTTACTGAAAAGTGGCTCGATTACTATGTGTCAGGTAAATAAGCAAAACAATAAAGATTACAAACAGACTGGTGTTTGGAAGCATTACTGTTCTCTTATAGTAGCAAACCTTTTTAGCAGAATAGTTTGTTTCTACTTCTGACACTTTTCAATCACCTACAAAAGCTAAAAATGTGATTGATGTTGTCTACGAAATGGAGCCAAGGAAGATGGGGTTGAGCAAAAAAAAAAAAAAAAAGAACATTTTGAGCAGTCTTCCTTGAATAGTGTGCAACATGTATTGACTATTTGAGGACCTCCAGCAAGGTAAATCTGAACAGAATGGTTAATTATACAACCGTCAACTAACTGCAAGATATTAAGCGGTGTCCATGGACACAGAGCAATGAAGACTTTTCAGTGTAAAACACAAGTATTTAATAAAATAAAGAAAGTGGAAGTCTTTTAGCACCAAAGACATCATGACAGTTGTGTAAATGGGACAGAGTGCAGTGCTTCGCAAAACATTTTTAGATGTTCTTGCATAATATCCATTTCTGTCGTTTCGCTTATTTATTTATTTTTGACAAACACAACATACCTCTTTTTCTTTTCTCCTCAGATAATGCACATGGTGTCGTCTCCAAATCATTTAGTTGGAATTAGAATGAAGACCTTGGGTTGTTCCAAGCAGAAAGCCAAAGATTTTCTGTGCTTATGAGACATTTAGAGAGTTTGAATTTCTGGTTGTAGTTTTCATTATTCATAATGATTGAGTCTCGTATTTTAACGAATGCTGTTCTTTGATTATATGGACATGTTCATTGAATGCTTTTGAATAGCTGTTCTTGACCCTAGGTTCTTTGTACTTCTCCGGCTTTGTGTGTCCTCTTCTATTTAAAGAAGACTGGACTGGTTGCAATTTAGACACGTTCTTTCCTACTAAGCACTTCCTGCTGTTGCTGATTGGATTGGTGCTCGGTTCTCTGTTTTTAAACCCTTTTTCTTTTCTCAGCTGTTATTCTCACACTCTGTCCCGACTGGATCCAAACACATCCATGCATCAGAGTCTATGTCGGATCGTCTTATTGTTTCTCTCTCCTTCCGTAGCGTGACCCGAGCCTAATTCTAATGGCTCCTTCAACAGACAGAGCTAGATAAGAAGCCAAAGTTTTATGCTGAATTATTACTTAAAAGCGAGTAAGGAGTGAGTCTCCAGTCGACCCAGGTGGCAGAAATCTCATCTCATGGGCTGCTGTGAAAGTGGACAAATTCAGGCAGTATGAAGATTGACCTGAGTCCCTTTTTTCAAAGAGTTTCATTCCTGTGTTAAGATTGACATGAATTAAATGAAAGCGACTTTCTCACATCATGGTCTCTGGGAGCCTGTTGAGCTCCAATGAACACAAATTGTTAAATGCTTAATATGTATTTTGGGCATTTATTCTTCAGTTCTAATCAATAAAAGCAGTTCGTCATTTGCTTCGTGGCAGGGGATGAGAGGTTCACTTTTTTATCAAGGCAAACACCCTGTCACATGTCCTAGTCAAAGTCAAAACCCAAAAACCAATTCAGAATCTTTAGTAAAGCTTGAAAATTGATATTCACCACCATTCTCAATTCAATACAAAAGATTTTAAGCATTTTGGCAAAGTAAAAAAAGGACAAAAATGTTTTTTATAGATGTGAAAAGATGGTAGCAAAAGACTTTTAGCTGTGACTACACAGAGACGTATTGCCTCGGGGGAGTTAAAGACACCTGTATGCCACATATTTAGTTGTATTCATTTGCATTACTGACACTTTTCAGATACAGTTCATTTTGATAAAATACAATGACATTTGTGGTTGTCATGTGACAAAATGTGAAAAGAGTGAAGCGTTGCATATTTTTTCCCAGGGGATATAAGTCATACGATGCATGCAGCCTTCATTATATGAGCTGGAGTCTCTAGCTCATTTCACAAGTGAGCTAGAATTCATATTGGCCGAGTGGTGGCGCCAAAGAGCAGTAGGTCTATAACTGTCAAACATGGTGTTCAGAATATTCTGTAAGACAGTCAGTGGACGGGAAAGTTTAGAGTAGATCCTAATTTGATCACTGTTATGATAATATAGCAGATGTGGGTAATGTGTTCATTTATTTGTGGATTATTATATGATAAAATCTTGAAACTTTAATTTAATCCCAATTTACAAAATCAACACATACACAAAACAAAAACCAGACACATTGTGCATCTAATTTACAGTCTTCTGTGTTAAAAAGTCAAAACAGTTCTTTTTATACCATAGTTTCCATCCCATGTAACCCAACCTAAATATGTAATTTGACATTATTTTGCGCTTTTACGCAAAGATACTGCAACTTCTGGGGTTTTTTTTTCTTTGGTTTTGTTTTCTTTTTTCAAAACAAGCAGTTATTTTTAGAGTCATATTTTGCAGAAAGCAGCTTTTTAATCCCTTAAAAGCATTCTTACGCAGCGCTCCAAACCGCTCCACAAGTGGTGGATCTCACAGCAGCATAACTGCGCTTCCCATCAAGTAATGGCAACCGTGACCGCCCCATCCCAGATTGGAGCACCCGAAAAAAGGTGGTGGGGTGCGGGGGAATTCAATAAATTATGCTAATCAGTCATGGCAGATTGGAGGCGGGTTGTTGCCTTAATGAGAGTGGGAGCCGTCGCCACAACATGCGCACTGCCTCCCAGTCCCATCTCTCTCCCCCCCTTCAGCTCGTGTCTCCTTTACGTTTCCGTGCGTAATAGCAGCTTCCTTCTGCAGCAGGCTACTGTGCAACAAGTTTGCAGGAGCTCTACTCATCTATCCGTGGCTGTCACCATAAAGTACGCGAACGCATCGTTGCAGTCTCTCTCTCAGACACGCACACGCATACACTCGGAACAGCAGGAGCAGCAGCAGCGTGCCATCCCTTCCGTGACTCCACACCAGATGCGGTTTACTCCCGGCGGCGCGCAGTTGAATGCGGAGGATCGAGAAAACAAGAGGAGCGTTTAGTGTGTGGAAAGACATTTAAAGAGAGTGGCGAAATGGAGAAAGAAGTGAAGCGACACTGTCGCACGACAGCGCTGAACATCATCTCGTCTTTATGTTCAGTGGCGTCCATCGCGTTCTGCGTCCATCTGAGCATCAGCGCGGCAGACATCAAGAGCCGAGTTGTGGGTTTGGAGAGCGGGACGTCGGAGCGCACCTTCATCCAGGTCCGTGGACACTCCATGGAGGATTTCAATTCTCTGGTGCAGCAGAGAGTGGACGAGTTGCTTTCTCAGGTAAACCATGACTTTTTTGTGTTTTAGCTGCCTTCATGTGATCCAGTCTCACTTTTCCGTGCAGATGAATTAAAGTGACATTCATTTGCAATTTTCAGCGCTCTTATGAGAATTTCGCCAAGATCAGGACGGCAAGACAAGCCTCACCTGAGTGTAACTGCCCCCCAGGTAAGGGCAAATGCACTTTTCCCAGTCCTAAATGCACCTAACTTTACGGCTGATTAGGGCCCCAGGAGAACTTGGTTGTACACATACAGGTGCAACTTAATAGACTGTTGAAAAGTTCTCTCCACTTTCTCAGTTTCAGTAGTGATACTGGGAAGTTATGCTCATGGACTAATCTCTTCCATGTGTTTATTTCTGTTCATTTAGTTAATTATGACTTCAGCTAAAGGAAAAACCTTTGGTCAGTTTCTCAAATAGTTACAACCAATTTTTTAAAAAAAGATTCAGACATGTTATAGCCAACACAATCATGAAGAAGACTGACCTGACAGTTGTCTAGCAGACCTTTAGTGACACCTTACCTGACACACCTGGCTGTTGAGATTGCACGTTCTTACATGAAAGTTGAGTGGAAGGAAAAAGTGTGGCAGAAGATACAAATCCACAAGCAGCAGCCATAAAATAATAATTAATAAGCAAAAGACAGTTTGAGACTTTAAAACACAGAACATGGACTGCAGCTGGAGTCAAGGCTCCAAAAGAAATCACACCGACTTATCCGCTGCTGTCTCATTCTGAGTGTTAAGCCTCTCTTCAACCAGAGATATGGATGTGTCATTTCTGTTCTTGAGAATAATGGAATGAACTGTGTCTAAGTGGTACAAAGTGTTCTGTACAGGAGAAAGTACATTTCGAACTTCATTTGGAAATGAATTTTCCAAATGAAGATTCTTGGACTGACCAGAAAACACACCTGACCTCAACCTCACAGAGGATAAACGGCAGGACTGCTCAAGTCCAGCCTTGGAGAGCTACCAGTCTGCAGCTTTTATTATGCATCTCTATTTTGTCCAACACATGTGAATCAACAGGCTGTATTACCTCATCAACAAGCCATCCATCTGAATCGGGTGTGCCTCCTTGTCATGCCACATTGATGCAGTAATTTATGCAGGAATCCTGACCAAGTCCTGCATGCATTAGAGTTGGGCGATATGGACTTATAATTTTTTCACAATATTTTGAGGTACTTTTTTGATAACACTGATAAGAACCAATTATTAGATGTTTTTAGTCAACTGTATAACTGTAATTGGGTGTCGCAGCGATTATAGCAACACAAACACAAATTATGGTTTTGAAAAACATTCCCATTTGTAATGTGCTTCTTTAGGAAAGAAGTGTGATTTGCATTGTGAAATTGCACACGGTAACTGTACTTTAAAAATATAAAATAGTACAACAACAGTAAGAACATTTATTTTTAACATTAAATGAAATTTATTGCGGTAACAATAAATCAACATTCTTAAGTGCCTACCTCTGGGGGCACTTATCGTCTCAGCAGGCTTATTTTCCTATAATAAAAACTCTGTTTATTTGACTTAAATATTCCCTGAGAAACATAATTTCTCAGGGTAGCTGTAAGCAATAACAGTCACAATCAGAAAAGAAACTTTGAGTGTAAAATTGTTTAAATGGTAAAATTAAGTTTTTAATAATGTTTTCTTTTATTGAGATGCAACTTCATGAAACTTGCTACATTAAGAGTCATACCTTAAAGATAATTAACTGAGCACTTTGTCCTGACCGTTGTTCCTTTAGTAATTAATGTGATGTGACTGCTGTAACGGTCAAACATACTGGTTCATGTCGTCATGTAGACTCACCTGTGTTACTGCAAATACCAAAACTAACCCAGCTTTGAAAGCACCAAAAGAAAAAATCAGGGGTGTTGTAGTGCCTGTTGGGCCAATTTGATGGCGGGCCCCTTAAATGCCAGCCGTGGGCCCCATGCAGGCTTGGGCCGCCCCTGTTTATCTAAGGGAAGGTGGAGCGGTTAAAGGTGGAGGAATGAGTAGGAATCTGTCTACACAGGATAGTTTGGGGAGGTCTGATTGTGTAACGGCTGAGCGGAAAGGCAAAGTGCTCGGTGCTGAGCTGTGGTTCTGAGTGGCTGTCTGACTCGTGGTGCTGCATGCTTTTGTCCATTTGACACAATAGGCAACAAACACAACTTGAAATTCACATTATCCGCCAGTAGATGGAAACATTTATTCCTGCAGTGCTGGTCAGCTTTCTAGCAATTTTAGGGGGATGCAGTGAAGGTCTTGTGAGCGTTTAGCAGTGCTCCTTACTTCGTTAGATGCTGCATGTTTGTGCAACCACCCAGAGAAAACAGCTCTTTCTTTTAAAGAAGTGAAATATCTAACAGAACTAAATGTAGCCGTAAATAGTGTGGCATTTCAGCTAAATTAAATTGCTGTAGTTGTTCTTTTGATAGCTAAAGCATTTGGCAGATGATTTTGAGGACTATTTTCATGACCGATCAGCCCAGAAACAACGCTTTGCTAATTGCTGTAATTTCAGTAATGAACCAGAGAATTATATGTGATGTGAAAGCAATTAAATTCACCTTGTTTGAACCCGACTAATGGTATAAAAAAAAAAAAGTGGAAAGCACTGCTGCATGCAGCCAGCATTTTGAATGTCTTTGGCGCTTACATGGGAGCAAAACAGAATAGAAATAGCCTTTATGGTCCCGTAGAGGGGATATTAAGCATGTTACTTCTGAAGAAAAAGCATAGACTTGCACAGTTTTTGGAGGCACAATAAAACATTTGCCTTTAAAAGATACTTGGTTTCATTAGTTTCGGATGAAAAAGGTTGAGGTGGTCAGGAAAAAAGTGTCCACCAAGCCTTTGCGAAGCTGTGTCCACTCCACAGAGCTGTGCTGATGTGCTTTCCAGGAACTTTATGCTCTTTCCTGGCAGTCTGCTGAACTACTTAGTGGCTGTTTACTAGGCTTCATGCTTCAGGTAGTTTTCAAAGTTTCACAACTTTTTAAAATTCTGATCATGGGCCATCAGTCTCTGCGTCATAGACTCGGAGGTGTTCCCCTGAAAGTACTCACACCCTGAGATCGCTGACATTTTATCAGAGTGCAAAACCAAACAGCTCAACACAAAGCAGTGGATGAATATAAAGTCGATAAAAAGGAATAGATGGCTCCCCTCTCTCTTTTTTTTTTTTTTTAAACTTTATTTTTATTTATTTTTAACAACACATGTCCACAGTTGCATTCGTCTGCCTCTTACTGACATATATCTTCTGCATTATAACTTGACAAAAGATGAGACATCAATGATCTAACATAGGCAATAAGGAATACATACCAGTACAAACATCACACAAGAACAAAAAAAAAAAAAAAAAAAAAAATATAAAAAAAAAAATACAAGACACACAATTAAATCCCCTCTGACATAGGATGGTCCTCACATTCTTAAACAGTAAGGTATTCTAACTGACCCATGGGTACATACAGGTGCCAACAAGCAATCCTGTAAGGGCGTCATTGAATTAGTAACGGTAAGACCGGGCTCCACCTTATATCAAAAACTGTTTTTTGAAGCCTTAAGGAATATGTGATTCCTTCCATCAGATAAATGTCCCAGATTTTTTGTATCCATGTGTTATGTAGGAGGCCCTGGTTTCAGCCACCTGATAGTTATACATTTCAAGGCTGCTGTGAGCAAGATACTTAGAAGATATCTATCACCCTTCCTGTCTATTCCATCGGGTATTACTCCCAGAACTGCCACCAAGGGAGTTTTTGGAACATTTCTCCTGAAAATAACACTGAGAGCTTTTTTTTTTTTTTTTTTTTACTGCAAACGCAAATCTGGAAAAACTTTCTAGTCAGTCCCTTTTACTCTGAAAATACTCCTTCTCAACAAACACATTTTGGAATTTGTATAATTTAATCTTAGTACATACCTTGAAGATATTAAAGGCTTGTTAGGTAAACCAAGGACCATCTTTGAAGGAGGAACTGCGAAAACGATGGAAGAACTGCAGTTTTAATCTGTTGACAGTTCAACTGTTAACCATGCACTCTATAAATCTGGCTATTATGGAAAAGTTTTAGGAAGAAAGCCAAACAAAAGTGTGGATAGAAGTCACTGCGGTCAGATGAGACCAAAGTGTAACTTTTTGACACACTTAAACATTCAGAGCTATGGCAGAAGGGTTTATGTCAACACACATGTTGCCGTGGCTCAGTCCCAAACCAAAATCATACCAGACTTAACATCGAAAGATTTTAAAATTCTGTCTAAGAACAATACTTATGGGTTGGTAATGAGACAGAGTTTATTGAGTTTTGTTTCTATAGCTCAGCAGCTGCCATCAGTGCTGCAAGACTTTGTCCGGCAATTAAAAGTTGGACTCGCACATAGTCTGTCCTCTATTTTTGGAATAAGCTCAAATATTCATTCTATCAGAAATATTTGTTGTATTCATTCTTGTCGAAGTTAAAAAAACATAACTCGACAAGGCGATAATCCTCAATGAAAGAGTTCCCCTTCTTCACCCCATGTTTTTATTGACTGCGAATGAGTCATCTGCTGAGTGGGCATGCCTGACTTAACGAACCAAAATTACTGCAAGGATTAACATTAATGAGACCCATCACAGTCACGCAACTCTCTGCACTTCATCATACATCTGGTCTTTATTTTCCTCCGCACACATCTCTGTACTGGGCAGAAATTAAACCATGAAAGCCAATCAGATTCAAATGAAGTGTGACAGGAATAAACCAGGGGCAGTCAATAGCTGACGACATGCCACGCATCATTCTGCAACCTCTACCAGGTAGTTTCCTGCAGCTATCATACAAAACTTTATAGTGGGAAACAGCCCTGGTAGGCATCTATTACACAAATTTGCCTAAATCTTCCGGATGGAAATTTGTAGAAACTGGCTGAATAACCAGTTTTAAACTCCTTTATGGTGTTTACTTTGAATTCATCTGAACTGTACTAGGTTTAAGATATGATCAGAAGTTATAGCTTTTGATCCCAGTCAGACATCCTAACCATCTCTCCTTTGCCAAAAATTTGACTGAATGCAGATGTATGGAATCTGGGGTGAATTTACATAAGCTATGCAAGATAACCACTGTGATGGAATCATCAGTCATAGTTTTAGTCCTGAAA